AAACCATGGCGTTCACTATCCCCCAAAATTCAATTTCTGAATTTTGATCATAATTTTAGCATTCCATATTGCAGTTTTAAAGTTTATACTTAAATTATGCAATGGAAAGTTCAAGTCCTCAATTTGTTCATTCCTCTCGTCGATTTGAAAACTATCTTCAAAACCAAAGCTAGTGCCATTTTGGTGTCAAAATCTGTTTTCAGATTTCCCCTGTGAAATGTCTTATTGGCAGTTGTTACCGTGAAAACATTGTTCAGATTTTGTCAAGATAGTGAAAGATTATTGTGAGCAAAAAGAGAAAATAAAGGAACAAGTTTTGACCATAATCACTGTAGTAAACAGCAGTTGTTAAGGGAAAGATGAGTTATTTTGAAAATTGAATAACTTTAAATTCAAAAGTATTGTTTTGTTTGATTAACTTAAGATGATGGATAAAGAAGTGATGAGTTTGGTCGTTATTCTAAAGAATCTAATGCTAATTATCGCTTAAATACCCTTAACTAAAAATGACCATAGCAACGGTTACCATGGAAACCTCATTATGTTGTTTCACACATAAGGATAAAAGATATTCACACCAGTAATGCTTGAGCCAATTTAAAATTGTCTAAGCTTAACTTTAGGGGAGTAATGTCGAGTTGAACATGTATAAAATAATGATACTAAAAATATGCTTAAATCACAGGGACCTTACCAGCAGTCACAAATGAGCCCCCAGCACAACGACGTCCCACCAGTACATCAGTACATCATACCTAAAAATGTTCTATGGGTATTGCCCTACCATTTTGTGATGTCAGACCAAATATGTAGAGGGTGTGCTACGTCTCGATTTTTTCAGGGTTCTACCTCCTAGACTAAGAGCACGAAAGAAGTGTACGGGGAAACACGAGACGTAATCGAGTGTTTCTCCCTTCTTCTTGAGTGCTCTAGACCGCTACACCAGTGCTTTACAACAGAACAGAGCACAGTCATAAGGCTTCTTTATTTGTTTTGCGATAAAAAAAATCCGTTAAATTCCCCACGCATTGCTTTCTAATTTTCAAAGCAAACTTTATTTTCAAAGCGAACGAGAGTGGCGTCAGGATGTTCTACACTTTCATAAATCACGCTTTATTAGCCAATCACAATCCTGATTAGGAATAACATAAAAGATGTCAAAACATCAAAGCTATCACAAAGTAAAACGAGCGAAACGTTCAGTGAATATGAATACTTTCTACGTTCAAAAATCAGTTTCTAAAGGTAAAAAGTGCTTTTGCGGCCCATGAAAACCTGGACGTCATTAACATCACATATTTGAAAACAAACTGCTTCAGCTTCGTATCGAAAACTGCCCAAAAACCAGGGGCACCCAACGACAATTTTCAGAAAATATCTGTTCGGATGACGATTTGAGATCTAGAATTTTCGGAACATTTGTTGTAAAATTTCTTGCTTGGCTGCCTCTCCTAGGATTTTCGAACATCTAAAAATGGTATAATTGCCCATTTTTAACGGATTTTTAACCTCAAAAGGTCACCTAGAATTTTCGGGAGCGTTTTTCCTGGCTGAAATTTTTGAAAAAATTAAGTGTGGATCCCTATATAATTTTCGTATCACTAGACTATCAGCTAGAAAATCCAAGCAGATGAAAAATTTTTAGGGGATAAAAGTATGCCGTTTAAAAACTAAAATACGTTTAATAATGCTATGTTTAAGTGGTTTTGAACTATATTCTCGTTGGGTGCCCCTGAAAAACTGAGCCTGAAAGTAAAATTTTATAAAATTCGCCAACGTCTTCCCAGAAGTGATGGCGCCTGTAGTCTCGCGATCGTGTTTTAAGCTAATATTATGAATGAAAAAACTCAAAACAATAGACAGAGAAATTATTCTTGAAAATTTTGTTATTGGAAGACTAAGAGGTTAATCGGATAAGCACAATGTAAATTTCAATACAAAATCTATCGCAAATCGGGATGTAGTTTTAAATTTTTCTTTAGCGCCAATGGCAAAATTTATAGAACGTTTGTAAAACATTTATACATAGTAAATTCCCTTTTAAAAACGTAACTTTCTTGACCACAGAGTACAATATACCTGAAAATTCTTCGCTGTCTAGTCTCAAAACAGGACATTTTGCGCTCCGCCGCAAAGAAAACATTGTTGAATTCCTCGAAGGACCATTTTGTAGCTAAAAGCTCTCCTTAGTCCACACCAAAAATAACTGAACATTCGTTTGAACTTCCCTCAATTTTCATTTGTGTCTTTCAACGGTGTATTTTTAACCCAGAAATGTAGAGCTTTGGTCTGAAAACCCACCGCGGCATGGTGTGATTCACAGATGGCGCGACGGCCTTACAGTCAACCAGGTCAAGTGTACCCCCAAGATTCCATTAATGAATTTATTATTGGAAAGTTGAATTCGTTGGTAAATGTGGATTTCAGATTTATCTCTTCATTCTTGCATGCGTAATGAGCCGTGAATTCACACGAAATTACGACATTTCTACCGCCTCAGTTTCTCTGAATTTGATGTAAATGTAATTTAATCCATTCAAAGATTTTCAATCTGACCAAATACAGAGAAGTTCTTGTAAAATATTCACTGCTTATCAGGCATGCAGGAATGCTGATTTGAATTTGAGACTAATTTCTGGAATGACTAAAGGATTCATTTTTCAAATAATCAATTCATTAATAGAATCTTGAGGGGTACGCTCGCTTGACCTGCCTTGACTGTAAGGTGATGTTACATGAGACGATTCGCAACAACGATTTTTCGCGCAACACAGCGTTGCAACATTGTTGCAACATTGTTTCGAATAGTTACAATATTATTCCAACATTGCAACACCGTGTTGAGCTAAAAATCCTGGTTGCGAATTGTCCCGTGTAACATCACTTTTAGTTCCATGCTTTATACTCTCGTGAAGCATGCTTTATCAACCAATCAGAGTGTACGTTACATCTGAACTTTATTCTAACTATTGGGTAATTTTTGCTATCATGGAGGCCTTATACTAAAAACTCAGATGGGTCTCCGTTGGTGCGGGAACTATTTGGAGAGAGTTCAGCTGAAAGTCCCTTCGTTCCCCCTAAAATGTATAGTCCCCACCTTAAACGCTTCTGGAAGGAAAAAAAAAAGAAACTTTCACATCCATATTTCATCTCCTCTGTTCTTTTTATTGTATTAATTTCTTTGCAACAACCCCAGTTGCCTGCGAACAGAGAAAGGTATTGCTAAATCTTCGGCTATCACAGTATTCTATATCGCTAAACGGGCCTTCGTTTTCAAAATCAAAAATTCGGAAGAGCGAATGTGCAAATTTTCTTAGTGAGTAAGAACGAGATGATTATGTCTGGTTTATCTTTAACACGTAATTACTAACGATTTTTTGAGACATGCATTGTTCTAAAAAAAAGAAAACAACAATAACAAATGAACAAACGTTTCACTTGTTTGGTGGAAACGCTATTTCACCTTGTTACTTTATATAAGCATCTCCCGTCACCAAAGAATAATTCATATGTTTTTAATAACAAAATTGAACGGATTCAGGTTACGATATTTTGTAACAAATGTTCGATTTCCTATTTTTACAGGTACAGAAACATATGAATTTGCAGGGTTTCGGGCCTGTAAGTGTTTGGATAATTACTACCGAACGAATTTGTTTGGGGAATGTACACTATGTGAGGAGAATGGCGGACTAAAATGTCGGGATGACTTTGCGAATCTTACAGCTGGCTTTTGGTGGAAGTGGAAACATCAGACACACTTAGAAGTGTATAGAAACTTCATTAAAAACGTAACCAATTTCTCCTTTACTCCTGAATTACACAAAGCAAATGATTCCGGCATTGAGTACCCGTACACCATACCTCAACCGTACAGATGTCCCATAGCAGAAGCTTGTAAGGGAGGTTTGAATTCTTCATGTGAGGCTGGTTATGAAGGACCGCTATGTGCAGTTTGCAGTGATGGATATCACAAAAAACTGAAGAAATGCAAGTTGTGCCCAACAAAAGGATGGATGATCGGACAGCTTGTAATTATTGGGGTATTAATTATCATACTGGTTATACTTGTGGTGTGGAGAAGCAAGAAAAAGAACAAAAAAGACGCTGAACGATCTTTCCTTGACAAGGTCCTCGGAGAGATTAAAATTGTTATTGGTTTTTATCAGGTGCTGTTTGGTATCATGGAGGCGTTTTCATACATAAAATGGCCTGGAAGTCTTTCCGTTATTGGGGAATATTCAGATATTATTCAGATGAACATTCTTCAGATAGCTCCCCTCCACTGCATCTTTCCTGACTTGGAATTTGACGCACTCACAAGTTTATTTGCAGTTATGGGATTGAATATTGCAGCAGTCATCGTCGCCCTTGCTAGCCTTGCCCTTGCCACTTGGATATCGACACGACATATGTCGAATGAAGAAGAAGAAATGAAGATAAAGGAGCGCATTAAAGCGATAGTAAAGAGAAATCTGTTTTTCTTTCTTTTCGTGACCTATCTGAACACTTGCCTAAAAACAGCTCAAGTCTTACCTCTTGCCTGCCATAGACTCTGCGTTGACCCCAAAAAAGATGAAAGCTGCGAGGAGTATTTGAAGGCCGACTACAGCATTAACTGCAAAGGAGAGAGGTATAACCGATTAGTCATCGTGGGATACTGTTCCATTGTGTATGTGATTGCTTTGCCTGCTGCTGCTTTTACAGCAATTTGGAAAAGGAAAAGAGCTGAAAAGAAAAATGAATCAAGCGACACAAATGGTTCGGAAGACCAAAGTACCGTGCAAACGGGGCTTCTTTTTTTGCACGAAAACTACAACCCTCGGTGTTGGTATTGGGAGCTGGTGGAAACATTTCGAAAGGTTATTTTAACCTCTGGATTGATCCTTTTGGGTGGGGAAAGCAGAGCTTACATTGGCCTAGCTTTGGTTTTTTCTGGTCTGTATGGTATCTATTTCGCGTGGAAAAGCCCAATAAAAGATCCATTCGAAAACAAGCTTATGCTATCTTCACTTGCCGTTACCTTCGTAAACCTTGCAATAGGAGCCGTGAGTTCAATCCCAAGTGAACGTTTTGAGTCATCAGTCGACCTAATCCTGGATAACCTGCTGTTCAATGGCTTGGTCTTTATTGCCAATTCCTTGGTTATTGGACTCCTTGTTGGTAAGTTATGAAAATTCATTGTATTTGTCTGTCCCAAGACCCTTATATGTTACAGGCAGGCTCATACCTTAACTTGGGCATCCTGATTTATTGTTCAAAGTTCTTGCAATAAAAGTTGTATAGATTACTTCATAGTTAATAATTAAAAAGCGCGCACGATTTTTATTCACAAGTTCATTACAAGTGAATAGATATCGTACAAATTAACCATAACCTTGAAGTAATTTTTTTCATTCTTTTACCATTTTTTATCTTTTTTTACTTTGATCAAAATCAAATCACCGTGGGAAAGTTTACTAGTATTTCCTTAATCAATATTAAATCATTATTGTACTTGTTATAAAATAATATAGAAACATGCAGCCATGAAACAAATATTTATCATAGATGAGGCTCCTTCTCGGGAGTCGACATTCATAACAATTCTTGGATCAATTTAGGTTTCCGGGAAACTGCCCACCTACCCCTCCCCTAAGCTAACATTAACACTTAGTTCTCACTTTGGGCAAAATGATGGCTTAGGGGAGGGGTAGGTGGGTAGTTCTCCCTGATTGATCCCAATTCTTTGTCATACGGTATTTTTATCTCCTCCTCTTAAAGAGCAAGGAAAGAGTTTGCGTTAGGTTTATTTCCTTTTCTTTTAAGTTTTAGATACATTTGTTTTTTGTTCTAAAGCTTTTCGTGTCTGTTCAAGCTTAGCGTCTTTCGCAATGCTGAAACTGGAATTATTCGTCTTTAAATACAGTTCAAAACTGGCCATTAAAGATAACGTAAAGGACTGGCTTCATAGTCATCTCACACATACAGCTCCTTCGGGGCAATTTCTTTGCTTGACTCGTTAATCGTCGCTTAAATCGGTTTTCTTTGTGTGTGTGTGTGTTTTTTTTCTCGTTTTCGTGGCTCTCGATAAATTTCTTTATTGATTCTATAAACTATAAACCCTGCAGAACTTTTCTGAACTTTTTCACTTTTGGCAAGTGTACGCACCAAAAAGCAGGAAACGATACAATTTTTGCCACTTAAGTGAAAAAATCCGTTTGAGGCCTGTGATTGGTCATAAGATATATGTAGAAAGAACTGATTTTTTGCTAACCCGGTTTTCAAAAATCCAGGTAGTAGATATATAAATTTAGTATATACTAAAACAGTGGATAGTGTTTTTCGCGCGCTCTGATTGGCTATTCAATCAGTGAATATCCTGCACTAGTCACTGATTGACCTCCAGTTCGTCCGACCGAGAGTCGTCAAACTCGCATAAGTTGCGAGCAAAATGCCTTCCGGGTTTCCTGCCGTAACAAACAAAGAAATTTCACAAATAATCAAGCAAGCTGTTCCCGAAATACACAAAGAAGGTGACGAAGTTCGGTTTGGAAGTTTTAACAGGTCATGCTTTGTCTTAGTTCGACTTGAATTTATCGATGAAACCGGTGGAAAAGTTTTTTGTTTACAAATGCGAAGTCTTGCCTGATTACTTCATTTAGTTGACTTGTTAATAAATAAGCTCAAAACTAAATTTAATAATCTTTTTTTACAGAATGATTTTAAATACCAAACGAATACACGACTCCTTTTGAAGAAATTTCCCGGCAAGATCTAAACAAATGCCCTTAAAAGTTTTATTTGTCGGCAAGATAAAGCGACGGCCGCGGCCGTTCGGTCATTGCGCGCCAAATTTGTAATCGTTCGCAACAGTAAATTAGTTAAAAATCATCATTTTTTGCTCAATTATGTCACTGTTTTAGTATATGCTAAAACAATTATTCACCTCAGTGTCGGTGGCTAGTAAACCGCGTCTCGGTAAATAGTCACCACTTGCTACCGACAATGAGGTGAATAATTGTTATATAACTTTTTTTTACCAGTGAGCAAATTGCATGACCAATCAGACTGTTTTTTGTTTCTGACGAACCAGCTTTGTTTAGAGTAAATCAGTAATTACATAATGAATCTCTATGTTTTTTTTTTTTTAAAAAAAAACAATGTATTATTACGCTTGACCTGAACAAGAAAAATGCTTAAGAGCACGGTCAGGAAATATCTAGCATTGAGTGGCAAGAGTTGAAATATCGATTCCTTTATTCTTTTTTCCATATACAGCTTTTAGGTAGATAAGAAACGTGCTGTAAATTGTTTTCACCAATAGCCTTTTATTTGCCACAAAAATTAAAATATCGGTTTTCAAGTCTCAAAATGGCCCATTTTTTTTAAAACTAAAATTCGCTAACATCAACTTTACTCGCGTTCGCAACCAAAGCCGCATGAACAAATTTGGACACTTCCCATAACAGAACAATTTTTTTTCACTGTTAGAGTAACTTTCAGGGAAATAGCGAGATT